CACATGCCCCATAGGGGGGCAATTTGATTGTTAATGGGGCAAAATTCGAAAATGGACCTGTCCAAAATTTTTTAATTACTTTTCCTTTTTATATGTAACATAATGAAAGTTTCCTCCAAATTTTATTTTGTGGGGTGGGGGGTGGGGGTCGTTGTTGCCGAAACTTTTACCGCTTAGGGCCTCATTGGTCTTAATCCGCCGCTAGAGTAGGGTTTAAAGACGGAATAAAAATTACGTATTAAATACGGTGAATCTAGCTTTGATCTTCACAGATCGATCCGCACCGGAAGTGGGTCGAGAGAATTGTAAATTACGAAAGTGTAAAACTCACCAACGCGTTCTCCGTTGCTGCAGACAATACCTGTCGCCAAGGTCTGAAAAATATGATCAAATCGTTAATTCCAGTTACTCAATCTTTCCTAACATTACTAAAGCTTCGTTTTATCTTTCATGCTTTTCATTGTGTTGAAAATTTCTGCACGATCGGTCGAGAAATTACTTTCCCTTAATCCTAGGAGATTTTGCGCAACTTTTTTTTGCACGACATCATCGACGAAGGGGTGCGACAAGAATTTCGCACTTTAGTCGTTTCGTGGGCAGCAGGTTATAAAATACCACGTTATTTTTGAACCTTCACGAGTGCAGTGAGGCAGTACCTTCGAGAAATTGCGGTACATTCTTTCCTCTTAACTCGAGGGGACTAGAATAATAAATGCCACCCAGAAAAGAATAATTCTCATTCCTCTGCTTTATAACGATACGAGGAAATGATTCCATTTAATTGTAGTATCAAACTGTATATCGCGAAGCTCTTATTATCCGTTTTATAAGATAAGGGTTGCATCATTAACCGTAGTATGTGTTTCGCGGGGAGTACTTGACATTTACGTAATGAAAGATTTATTGAAGACGAGAGACATCGAAGATAAAATCATTAGATATGTGGGCTCCTCGGGTTTGCAACACGTACGACATACATTTTTCTTTCTGCACACCACATGGCTTTGTTCCATTCTTCTTCTTTTTTTTAATGCGGTTACACCCATATAAATCTGAACGAGTGAGTAAAGGCGTCGGTTCGTAATTAGTCAGAAGAATGACGAGATATAGGCGACTGGATGTGCGATGCTTAAGCTATTTTGTCCGACGCGAACGAACAAAAAAGGGGCGAGTGCTCCGGGAACAAGGTCACTGGATCCTAATAAGCAGACAGTGGATTTTTATACGCGGTACAAGATTCAAGCTAGCCAGTTAAGAAAATTTCACATTGCAGTTTCGTATCATTTAAGCATTCGCTTGTTATATTTTCTCTATATCTTTCTGCAAAGTGGATTATTTCATAAATGCATGAAATTCGTGCCTAAATAAGAGAAAGGTGACTCATTCTTGATACAACTATCGTTTGCTGGTTAAGCTTTCTAAAGTATCACAATCGTTAGTATCAACTTATCTATAGATCATAAAGTAATACTGTTGTTAAAAATTCGATTAAATGGAGAGAGACGTTTTATAGAATGTTCCTTGGTTGCAATGTATCGACCGCTTTATTTGCACAAAATATAGTATAAACCTCTTGGATTAGTCGTAATCTTGCCATCGATTTTAGGTATAACAGAGGTCAATGACGTATTAAGTTGAAACTGTTCCTTAGAATATAGAGAGGCTGCAGGTTTCTGGGTGTTGATTTTTCGAGAAAGTTATTCCTAATTCTGACCCGGTATAAATATGTATACTACGCATACAGGCGTTCCGCCCACATTCTTAGGTGCTAGAAAACGAGTCGATATTAGAGACGGTCGAAGATACTCACGTTCATGGTGAAGGGACAGCTGACAGTCGATCCACGTAACACTAACACTGCCACCAATTATGACATCGCGTGCAATCACGGTTTGAGTGACACGGTACGATTACGCGGTGCTCGTATACGCATGTCGCTTCTTAAAAATCACAAAGATGTAGTAGGTACTTGCACTTCTCGTAATGCATATTCTGAGTCACTCCGGCCAAAGAAGAGAGCCCCTCCCTGACTGCAACAACCCCTGTGCCTATAGAGGAACGCGCATGCGTTCCAATTCGACTGATCGTTCCAACGACGAAAAGGGGATGATTTCCCGTTTCGCACTTAAACTTCTGTTCGCGTGCGTGCGATTCTCAGCCGCGAACACCCCGAGCCGATACGGGAGGGACACCGTTCGAAGGACGCAACGATAATGAACCGTCGGTGGTGCGGTCATCCCTTGCTCGTTTCGAGGTACCACCACGCATGTCCGAAGAACCCCTCTGCGAGTCGATGATCGAATCCCTCGGTCATGATCTTCTCGTTTGGGTCACGAAAATATTTTTCTCTTCACTAAGGGATGACTCAATGATGAGTAATCTTTGACAAGAGACCGAAAATACCGGTCTGTGATCAACACGTTTGTTGACGAAAAAATACGCGTCATTCTATTTAGATTAGATCGCTAGTTAACTTCCCTTTATATTGATTTTCTAAACTCTGATGTCCATGTATAGAAAGGCTGTTACTGGATCGCGTGACTCGTGCCTTATTCTCGAAGCAACATTAATTACATGCGACGGTATTCGAATGTATTGCGAAGGCTTTTTATTTACTTATTAAAATCTCGATATTTAACATTTAAGCTGCGTAGTTTGTGCATTTATGTCAAAGTGGTAACTACAGAAAATATAAGATTCATTTAACGTAACAAAGTATCAAAAGTGAAGTATCTTAACAATGCATAATAGAAGCATAGGAGCATTTATTAAACTTTTCATTTATTTATTA